TATATATATATATATATATATACATGTTTCTTGGTTTATATACTAAAATCTCTGTTTGTGCTGAAAAGAGAGGGGGAAAAAGAGATTGTTTACTGTTTCTTAAGTTTCTTTATAGTCACATTGCACAATCCCCTTGAAGAAACATAGCAAGTCAATTAAAGTCAGGGGCGGAGCTGGAGATCGAGATGCGGGTTCGGATGAATTCAGTAATTTTGGTTTAAATATTGTATTTGTCTTAAAAAAATTATTTAATATGTATAAATTATTAATTTAGAACCCAATAATTTAAAAGTTTTAAAATCTTAAATCCCTAAGTTTCAAATCGTGGCTCCGCTTCTAATTAAAGTAAGATTCTCCCCTTTTCTTTTTTGCATATATTGCTGTGAAGTAGATGGTTATCTTGAAGTCTGGTATTTTACTGCTTAAATTGCAAAAAGAAAATGAAAAGCTTTTCCATTTGAACATTTCGTTGGAGCTTAGTTACAGACTCCGAATAATCCTGGCAAATGTAGTAAGGTCAGATTTGAAAACTAAGTGCTTTTGGAAGTCATAGTGGTAAACCAGTTTCCTTTATCTTGATTGGTTGGCCTCTCGAAATAAACTAATGAAAGAGGTACTGATGAGACGTATAAATTCAGTTCGTTCCCTAAACTTTTAAGGAATGCAATTATGCTCTCTTCAATTATCTTATTTATAAAAGGGAAAGATAAAAAAAATAAAGTTAATGGATGAAATAAATTTAACACTTTTATATTTAAATAAAGTTAGTGGTACCGATATTTAGGAGTACTTTTAAATTAAAAATAAAAAAAAATATATTTAAATACAAACAAACTTTAATGGATGAAATAAATTTAATACTTTTATTTCAATACTTATTAAAATAAAGTTAAATTTAAGAAAATTTTCAATAACTTTTGTTGGTTCTTCGTTTGAAATTAAGCATTTATTCTTCTGGGTCCTGCTGTCTCCAATAGATAGTATTTCACTATAAGGATCGTCATCTTCTTAAATTATTTCTGGAAAACAAAAGTTTTTTCTCTTTCAATATTTCAGCAAATCTTCATTTCCTTCATCATCGCAAACATTATTTCTAACAGTTATTCTAGGAAAATCTTGAAAAGTTGGATTATACATTTTTTATATGTAACGCCTAAACTCGGACTAGTTTGGACTTGTTTCAAAACGAGGGCCCCTCCCTTAGTATTACCCTTAGTCAATCTATTAAACATTTTTTTACCAATTTAGCAGTCATTTTTAATAATAAATTATTAAAATTACAACAAATAGCAACACAAATATAACAAAATAAATGCAAAAATTAATATGAGTGCTAGAACGTTAATTGCAATTAGAAATAGAGAGAGATAGAGGAGTAGAGAAATATGAGAGTTTTGTGTGAAAATTAAAAAAATGAAATGGAGTATTTATAGATTTAAAATAGGGACTTTGTGTATTTGAACAAACGTAGAGGTTAAAAAATATAAATTGG